CTTGGCAAGCAAATACTGCGTTGTGATCATCATTCTCTTTCCTCATCGACTTATCATCCGAGGCCGATTTGCGGCCGATATTCACGAAACTAGTGCGAGAACGAAGAAAGGTAATGTCATGAGCAGCCTTCTCGCCGCACTTCTCAACATGGAGTACGATGCCTATACGAAGAGATGGCTTAGGGAGGTCAATTGGAAGCGAAAAACGAGGATCGGACCTGTAACTCGTTGTTGTGGATTACAGGGGCCTGGTGCTGGAACAATGGGCGCTAACTTTGTGCCAAGATACTGAACCTCTTCGTCCATGATGTCCGGAGACTCGAGAGAAATCAGCATTTATCAGTCAGTCTTGAAAGTCTTGAGGATACTGAAACAGCCTGTGTAGGTGGGGGATGAGAGTAGAGAGTCACCTTGCGTGACTGCTCATGGCCGTGCTTTATCACATTACGCCCTATATGGGCCGGCCGGAATCTATCTTTGGGCAATCGCCGGCATCACATTCCAATCACAAGAATCTCACTCAGAAATGTAGGAACTTTTGGAGATAATTCAGAACGGCGAGAACACACTAAACTACGGCTGTATTGTAACCACCTTCGAAAGGGGAAATTGAAACCATGCATAGAACAGCCAGGTAGCCAAAAGAAAAGCTGCGAAATCAAGCTAACGATGAACAGAACAGTTTTGAAGACGGTTTCCGCTGGTTCATGAGCTGTAATGGGCGAAGTATGGGTGGTCGAGGGCTCGTTTTGCTGCAGTCATATGGTCAGCGCAAGGAAAGTAGAATTTCAAATCACTGACCTGAGATGCGCTTCGCCGTATCATATGTGAGAGTTCGCTGCACCGGATTCATCAAATATATCATGATCGAATAGAAACAGACGACTCACAATCAATAAATCAAGGCCTGCGTCATCTAGGTTTGGTATATGCGTCCGCAGATCTTGTTTGGACCATTGTGGAAATGTTTCCTTGTAATCGGGCAACTGACTGACTCCAGGCCAAGTTTGCTCGCCTGGTGTCCCGAGGATTCTAAAGCACAAGCCATGTCAACCAGTCCACGGTAGCCCAGCCAGTGAACGTCAGCACCTAAATATTTTGAAAATCTGATCGATCTCCGAGTCTCCGGGGAAAAGAGGGGTGCCTTTCGCCACCATCTCGGCGAAGATGCATCCAACTGACCACATGTCAATTGCAGTAGAGTAATGTCGAGATCCAAGCAAGACCTCAGGAGCACGATACCAAAGTGTGACGACCTGTGTACACATAAAAGACCAATAAGCAGGGTGGCAAATTAAATGATGAAAGTCCGCACCTCATGGGTATAAGTCCTCATGGGGATACCAAAAGCTCTAGCAAGGCCAAAATCAGCAAGTTTGAGGTTGTTGCGTTTGTCGATGAGCAGATTTTGAGGTTTCAGGTCGCGATGAAGAATGCGGTGAGAGTGACAGTATAAAAGACCAGAGGTAAGTTGATGGGTAAATTTCTAGAAATCGCGGTTAGCAGTGTTGCACTCGAGCTATTCAGAGTAGATCGAAAGCAGATTGCATTCGTAGAAGCTCATGCATCTGCCTTCACCACAAGCTGATCACGTGATTGACCCCCTAATGTCACAATCGATGTGACTGCGGGAGAAGATCAAGTCAGTAGGTCAAGCCGATGAGTCAAGATCGTGTGCCGTGTGCTAGGCGTTATTGAGAAACACCGCCTGACAGAATCCCGTTAACATCCTAGAGCGCTGTATTGCTGTGGCAATCGCCAACATCAAAAAGACGCGTCGAGTGGGAAAACACGCGCTATACACGCGCCAAACATCACGCCAATGACGCAATGGACAACGATGGACCGCAGACAATCAGAAAAGGTGCAGATGTCCATGATGAATCACCTTGACAATATCCATACTGATTGGCGTACGAGTTTGGTTGGCGTGTTCCATGTAGCGCTTTAAGTCGACATCGAGGAACTCGAAAACGAGGTATAGCTTTTGATCCGCGTGAACAATGTCAAGTAGCCTGCGGGTGTACGTATGAGTTTGTCATTTGATGGATGAACTATAGTTAGAATCTTACCTGACAATGTTTTCGTCTTTAAGCTCCTTCAGGAGACTGATTTCGCGAATGGCAGTGCTCGGCACTCCTTCGTCTTCAGCTTCCAGGCGGATCTTTTTGAGGGCAACGATCTGGTTTGTTGATACGTCTCTGGCTTTGTAGACCACACCATAGGTTCCTAGGGAAAAGAATATGCATCCACAACAAATATTAAGGGAGTTGATGCAATTTGATCATCATCAGGTGGGATTGCTGATGTAGGTATGAGCGCGTACCTTCCCCTACGTGATACGCCACGCCGTTTCAGCGATTTAAACTCTACATCGAATAATGAACAGTGGCACGCACCAACTTTCTCAATCTTTGCGTAGCTATATCAGAGGCCAAAGCCATTAATGAGCCATACAACATCTAAATGAGACACTCGCGCACCGATCCATGGAGCGGAGTCAAGTGGTTGTCAACGGGGTATTGCGTGCCGATGCTTTTATTGATAAGACCGGGAATGTATCTTTGAGTATGCTTGAGCGAATTGCGGGCGATTCAGGAATGATGGATGAAAGAAAGAAAGAAGGGGTATCTGGAAATATAACTCGTTAACACCGTTGGCTGTTAGGTGAGTAAACAGTTGACGGGAGCCGTAATCAGTGATGGAAAGAACAGCTCAGCTGCCACCGCTGTTTATAAAGGCGGAAATGTCTTACCGATACCTTGACAGGAAACTTACAGGCCAGGGATACTTATAACACAGTAACGAATGGAGAGAAAGGGAATGAATTTCAGGGATGTATAGATGGCAGAAAGGACTTCGGCAAAAAGCGACACTGCCACCGACGCGTCGGCATCATGCTCATTATCTTCACTGCACCCTCACGCAACCTCGCAGGTTCTTGAAGAGTAATTACCAGCAGCATTATACGCAATCGTCTAACTCAAGCTGGGGAAATTAGTCGAACCCTCAAAGTATCATCCTCGAGAATGTGGCGTGCAGTCCAGGACTTAGATATGGGCGCACCGCTCATCGACGGAAACGGAATGTCCAAAGAGCTCTCCCGGACCGGATATTTTAAGGGTGCCAGTACGAATGATCACCTTGCTCCGAGCTGCCTGCCATTCGGTTGTCAAGGTCATACAATAATCGAAAGAGGCGTGTTCCCATGCTGGTACCGAAGAGAAGTATATCGCACCCACATGCGTCACTTTAATAGTTTTGCCCAAGAACTGTGGATACATATAGTTCACAGCGCTCTTGAGGAAGAGTTATTGATCCCCACCATCCCACATAACGCTGAGGGGTACAGGAAACGAGGTTCGTTGATAGGAGAAGTGCGGGAACACTGCGCACCCATTTAGCGCTTGGCCTTGGGTCTTCAGCCCGGTCTGGGCCAATTTATTTGCTCGTCCTCTTGCCGCCGCATGCGCATAACGTCAATGTACTGTCCTGGATACGGCTCTTCATCTAGATGATGAGTAGTTAGAACGACTTCAGGCACGAATGTGGCACCCCGAATATGAGATATACTTACTTCGATCGACCAGGTTAACTTCGAGATCGTCGTCGTCGTCGTCATTTTCCTCATCTGATTCCCACCGATCGTTTAATGTACCCTCAGGGTTTTTACTGCGATCCACGGCTAAATCTTTCAGCATGCGATTCATGGAGTCCTCTTTCACATCTTGAAGGGATTTTTCGCGGGCAGCGCGGGCATGCTCAAGTTCTGGAAGGTATTCTCTGGGAAGGGTAGGGTCAAACTTGAATCCCGCGGAGAGTAGGCTTAAACACACTTCTCATACGTCTCTCGGGACTCCTCGACGGCATCAAAGAACTCTTTGATTCCATCTCCGGTCATGCTGGAGACGCCAACAGCCTATATAAGTATTGCAATCAGTGTTTCTATCGTCAAGTGCGATTAGACGGCAAAAGAAAGACCTTCAGATGCTTGTAAAATTCGTCGAGAACCAGACTCATGCTGTTCATGAGGCTATTCATGTACGTAGGCTCCCCTTCCGAGTCCCTTGATCCAGAGTGTGATGCAAGGGCGGCTTGGAATGCTTCGAAGTCGTGCATCCACTCTAGAGCAAAGTTGTGAGGCTGTACATCGGTTTTATTGAAGACGAGAATAAACGGTAGCTTTGTTTTATATAAGATGCTGTTTTGCTCGAACGTCAAAAGAGAGTAAGATAACCACGATTATAATATACGCGCCTACATGCATAGAGCATATTTGACATGAAGGTAGCTGGTGCGGATGTTCTCGGCGTGTCGATGATGTACGCCACCACGGTGGGGAATGAAGACGCGATAGCATCCGTGATGATGGCACCCGATGCCGACCAGGTAAAGATTTCAATCTGGCCTGGTGTATCGAGGATGATATGACTGTACGCGGAAATTTAATCAAAGCAACAGCGAAAAACCCAGAACTCTTACTCTACGGTATCAGCTCTCTTCTCGACCAACTCGAGCACCTGATCAAACTTCGTGGTGAATAGATTGAGAGCGGTGAGAATACCGCCGTTTGGGCCCAGATTATACCTTTTATACAGGAATCCATTATTTGTGCATTAGGAGCCCAACAGAAACAGTAACACACTGCTTCATGACCTCCCGGTAATCAACAGTGTCTCTAATGTCGATGTTTGCTTCGAATGGCACGTTGGCTACTGCTGGATCGAGGTTTAAAATGTATGGAGGTTGAGGAGGGTCTTGCGAATGAAGGTAGGAGTTGATCCGTTGAACGAAAGTAGATTTGCCTGCTCCTGCCATTCCAATAGTAACAATAACAATAGGTTTTTTCTTGATATCCCCAGTAGGGTGAGCAGAGGTCGAAGACGAATCCATAATCTCTGTCGCAGTAGAAGTCTTGGATTAGAATGTGATTGATTCGAGGAAAAATCAAGTATGTGAGATGATAAGCTGACAAAATCTTGGGAGGAAGATCTTGCACAGCATTGATGGTGTAGCGGTAACATGCGGTCTTCCCATTTTTCTCAATGCTTTAATTGGCCGCGCTCCGGGTTCGACTCCCGGTCAATGCATTGTTTTTCCTTTTGAACAGTCCTATTGATCTTTCTGAATACGTTGATCTATACAGTCGGATCGGTGTAGATATATCTATTAGTTTTTTGTTCCAAACAGACTGTAACTGGCGGCTAATACGATCCCGGAAAAAAGTTGTCGGGATCATGGTTCCCAGAACCAGTGATCATACGATGGTACGATGACAATTTAGTGGTGCCGGACTGCTTATTAAGTTTCGAAGAGATGATCCAGATAAGAAGTCAGCTATAACGAGGAGGGTTTAACAAAAAATCACGAAAAAATTTGACCAGAAATCGTTAATCAAGCCCCAAGTTGATTCAATGAGTTGAATCGGAAACAGCTGTAAGTATGCCAAAAGCCAAAAAGTTATTCGGATGCCGGGAGTCGAACCCGGGGCCGCTGTGGACTGCGAATTTGAATTCGCAACTCACTTGAAAGACAGCAATGTTAACCGTTACACCACACCCGATGTGAATGCCTTTCTTTTTTGAACATCATATTCCGTCCACTGGCATTCAGGGAGGAAAGCTCAGCTGCCCGACTGCAGTCGCTCGCTCGATCATTGATTAGGGACGACCAATATGGATGAGAGTGGTGCGCAGATATGTGGTATGATTATGACAGATCTACCACGATGGGCACGCCACCAAAGCACAGATCTATTATCTTTGACTTGCGTTCGATAAGTAAGTGTTACTCACCTCGATTACTATGCTTTGAACCTTGGTGACAAGAACCTGTTAACCTGGTAGCACCGTAGTCAGCTATCCATAAATGTAGAGTCTAATGTCGGTCAAATGTGTTAGATGGGGTCTGCGAATGCTCCCGCTTGGACTTAAGTGTCGCTACCCTAATATAATGTTCAAAAACTATTGACATTCGCATCGGGTGTGGTGTAACGGTTAACATTGCTGTCTTTCAAGTGAGTTGCGAATTCATAGTTCGCAGTCCACAGCGGCCCCGGGTTCGACTCCCGGCATCCGAATAACTTTTGTTTTTGTCCCTCATTTTCTCCGAGTGATTTACTACATATATGAGGAGATTGTTTTTTTTTTTTTGCAGGGGGTGGCCAGCGCGTCGCAGACCGCTATCGTTTCTCACAGGATGAACTTCAGCATAGGCTGAAGCAGATACTTATCGACCGATCGTTCGAGTACAGAACTCAATTCCGTCAAGGCAATCCCTTCGAATTCTTGGCTTGCATTGGATGCGGAACATTGTCAGACTGTTTAGTATCAACAAAGTATCAAAACGGTTTATTCTGTTCAACACGAACTTCCAATGTTCCATTTCGAGGTGAATCAACTGAACAGAAGATCAAGCGTTGTCACACATCACTCCAATCATGATCCAGGTGACCTGGCACAGATATGCCCTGGCATTATACTCAACATTGATGCAGTGTATGAAAGAGGTATACGTAGCGTATCAGTTCCGAAGTAAAGGCAAGAAGAGACTAAACGAGTGTTCGGCAAAACAGCAGTGCAAAATATTCCAAAGATGCCGAGTGACGAAGACTAGCAATGAATGTAGGTGATGGGTATACGGACTAAAGGAGTTTTGGAAGGCGAGAGGTACGCCGAACGGTACTATAGACATGATATCGGTGGCCATTTACCGTCTTGCGCTGCCACCGCGGCCGTAACCAGCCTGGAGGTTGTCGAGCTCGCCCTCGAGAGATTTGATAGCGCCATGTGCCATCTCCAAATCCTTATTGAGACGGTCTCTCTCGGCAATGAGCTAGAATTTCAGGAAGATTGATTAGAAGAGACTTTGAAGATTTTCGCGGAGAACTTACATGTTGCTCCCACTGTCTGAATCTTGCTTCCTCCGCTTTGACTTGTTCGGTGAAGCGTTTCCTCAATTGCTCTTCTTCTTCCTTGAACTTCGGGTTGTCCACCTTCTTCACCTTTGGCTCCCCGAATTTTCTTGTCTCCATCTGTTGCTGCCTGTAGTTCTCGTAATGAAGCTCTTCAGTCGTCGAGATGAGGTCAAGCATGTGTGTGCGGATGAGGAGTGAACGGAGTTTCCGGAAGTCGCAGTGGTTTTCATTCTCGACTTCTGCGACACCCCAGAGATACTCACGACCTTTGACTACGCGACCATCTGGAGTCTGCACATCCTCGGTCGAGCCAATGATAGAGAAGGGAATAGCGTCAGTAAGCATGCGGGCATGCTCCGCTGATGCCTCATCATCGTTCTCGACGGGAGGTTGATAGATACGGATTCCCTGCGCAGCAATGACTTCGCGGACGCGCTGCTTGAAGAGGAACAGGTCGTTTTGCGTGAGGGTATCCGCCTTGGCGACGACTGGAATGAGATTGACACGCGTTCCAAGACGTTTCATGATCTCGATATCCAGAGGCTTGAGACTGTAAAATACCAAATCGAACATGAGCTTCGCAAAACGATTTGCAAGTAGCTAATGGCTTACGTATGCCCAGTAGGCCTGATGAAGTACAAGCAGGCATGCACTCTGAGATCAGTCTTCTCTTCGCGCTGAGGTTGCTGTTCCTGACGCATGTAAGCCTCATGTTGGTCGTCGATGAAATCGACAATGGGTGACCAGGAGTCGCGGTTGTTCACGTAGTCACCGAACCCAGGTGTATCAATGACGGTAAGTTTAACCTTGAACTGCTTCTCCTCAAGCTCAGCTTTGATAATTTCGACCTCAGTCAACTTATCGAGCTGCTTGTAATGACGTTTGTTATAGTTTTTGGCAGGCGACAGCTCGGTCGTGAAGAGCGTGTTGACGAGCGTAGTCTTTCCCAAACCGGATTCGCCTGCCAAGTGAAACCCAAGTTTAACATTTTCAATCAAAAAACTATAGAATTAGAATATACTGACCAACAACCATCATGGTGAAGTGTGCGCCACGCTTGGCGACAATTTTGTGTTTCTAAAGCCCAGAAAAACGAGTCGTAAGAGGAGTACGAACGTAAGGTTAGATTTTCCAACAGCCTGAAAGTTAAACACGCACCTGGTTAGGGAGGTTGGCGATACCAATGCCATCGGAAGAAGGGACGGGTGCTGCAGACATGATTGATACTCTTACTCTCGAGGTCACGGACAAGGCGCGAAGAACGAAGAATTCGGTTACAGTTTTGTTGGATGGTTCTTAAGTTTGCGTGTGTTTGGATTCGGTGGCGCTTAGCCTAGTACGCTTCCTCGTCAATATCGCCGACGCTAGTAGTAGCAAGTTACTAAAGTCTCTGATGTAACAATAAACCTAAGTAACTTGGGACTTCAAACTTGCAACATCTATGTTAAAAATCCATCTCTACGAATTTCTGTTCGCTGACAGCGAATGCTCGTGAATCTCCACCTATATGTACTACACGACTCAAAGCCTAAGACGGGTCAGCACACACAATTTAGAAGGGTGAGAGAACAGTACCTAGCCTATATCCATGGAATTTTGGGCTGCTGGGGTCTCGCGTTCTGACCGAGAATCTGGTTCTGGTGCCGTCTCCGCCTTTCTCCTCCTCTTGCGCGTCCGGACTTCCGGTTTATTACCAGTCATGTGTTCCAACGTTTGACCAGCTGGTTGAGAAGCGGCAGTAGGTGCATCGGAATTCTTCTGTGCGGAAACCGAGTTGTGTGGTTGTTGTGAATGGACCTCGACCTTTGGTTTCAACTCCACTTCCTTGAAGCGGATGCGCTGTTCCGTGTTTGTAAAGTGCGAAACAGAACGCCTATGTCGGTCGTTATCGCCTGCATCTGAGAAACTTAGTGAGTATTATTCTGGCAAGGATATCGCAATGCTGAATTTACATACGTTTCTCCTCCGTAAATAATAACTCCGTTCCTAGGAGAGCGTCATGCCGTCCTTTGAATATAGATCCTGATAGTTGGAGGAACGGGGTGGGTGTATCCAGACCCTAGGCATTACACAAATCTTATCAGCCTCTCTATTGAGAGCGGAAACTAAATGGCGAACGATGAGTCTGTAAGATGAGGAGCTTGGGACGAGAGTTGGCTCAACAGCGCCAAGATCAAGGGTGACATATGAGATTTCTTCCTCTTCATAGTCCTCTTCGGGGCCAAATGATTCGACCTGCTTATAGCCATGAATCAACGAGGAACCAGACATTGATTACAAGCCCAAATCTTGAGCAGAAACTACGTGACATACATATCGCCCTAATTCAATCCTAAACTGACAGAAATTAATGTCGATGTTTGGACCTGTTTGAACCCAAGGCCGTAGTCAAATAGAGTCAAACAACGCCCGGTCATATTCCAAATCAGGATCAATATCGCCAGTAGTGCTCAAATTATCCCATGGTTTTTCGCCTTTCTCCAATTCTCCAAAAAGTTAGGCCAACGCAACAATCATGGCTCCGCAGACAATATAATGATCCCTATGTCAGGCAGCGTTTATCGCACCCCGCCTCGTATCGGTCTCGCTCTGCATTCAAACTTCTTGAAATCAATGAGAAGTGGGGCAAATTCCTCGAAAAAAATGACGTTCAGGCAGTTGTTGATCTTGGTGCCGCACCGGGAGGCTGGAGTCAAGTCGTCGCTGGTAAAATGGGATGGTTAGAAGACGAACGCATTGATGGCACCGGTCCTTCATCCCCGCTCGAAGGTGAGGGGTATGGTCTGAACCAAAAGGCAAAAGATGAGCGCTATTCATCGTGGAGTGTAAAGGATAGGGACCTCGTGGATACATTCGATCCACTCTCGCTCACTGAGACTCCGGGACGAGTTGGGAAAGGCGTCATCGTCGCGGTTGACCTTCTTCGAATGGCACCTATCCCTGGCGTGCATACGCTTCAAATGGACTTCTTAGCTCCGAAATCATCTGACATTGTCATGTCCGCTCTGAAAACAAGCGCCAATCCCTCAGGAAAAGCAGATGTCATCATATCTGATATGGCTGCCAACTTCACTGGAAATCACATCACAGACAGTCAAGCATGCCTCGATATCTGCTTTTCTGCTATTGAATTCGCCAGTAAAACCCTCAAAGTCGCTGATAAGCAGCGAGGGTTGAGAGGTGGCACACTGCTGTGAATCTAGCCTTTCTTTTTGGTTCACAGGGCCTTGCTCATCCTAACTTGAATTTGACAGTCTAAAACACTTCGCTCATCCACTACTTCAAGAGTTCCGAAGACGAATACTGGTCCCCAACTTCCACGTCGTATATTATATCAAACCGGACTCAAGCCGTTCCGAGTCTGCTGAAGGATATTGGCTTTGTCGCGGGTGGACCGGAAAGAAGCAAGTGCAACGCTACGCCTCAGAAACACCACATGAGGACGAGTTCCAACAATGACTACATGACATTGGATCACTAGATAATGTACACTGTATCATAAACATATCATAATACCAGACAGAACAACATAATCTGACCGACACAACAATCAAATGTAAGATACCGTGAAACAAGATACCAACAGGATGTGATGAAAACCGATTCAGATTTCAGATTGCTTGGTGGTTGGTTCCGATAGTGCTCAAGCACCGAAACCATACAAGGTTCTCCCCGATCGCTTCAGAGCATACACAACGTCCAGAGCGGTCACGGTTTTCCTAGCATAGTGGGTCAGTTATCCACAGCATGGCTATTGGTTGTGCGCAGTTACCTCTTAGCGTGCTCGGTGTAAGTTACCGAGTCACGAATGACCTAGTGGTCAATGATTAGTGGGTGAAAGTAGTTCGAAGGCGGTACAACTCACATTCTCCAGGAAAATCTTGAGGACACCTCGAGTCTCCTCGTAAATAAGGCCTGAGATACGCTTTACACCTCCACGACGGGCAAGACGACGGATAGCCTAAATGGTATTAGAACGTTTCAAATGCACGCGAGCTGAAAGTATTTACGGGTTTAGTGATACCCTGAATGTTGTCACGAAGAATCTTGCGGTGACGCTTGGCTCCTCCCCTGGCAATTCATCAAGTCAAAATGCATTCGCGGATGCGTTTGTGTAATGGAAAGGCTTACTTTCCGAGACCCTTTCCACCTTTTCCACGTCC